AAAAAAATAACTGTAGTAAGAAAAACAAATGAAAAATGCGAACTAATGTAACGTCGTATGGTGAGTTTTTGTTCGTATCGTGGAGCAAAAATATGTTCGAATTTCATGTCGTATCCTGAAAATTTCGTATGCTGGGGCGTTCGTAACCTGAGGTACCACTGTATATAGATAATGATTATTATTAACTCAAATATTTTGAGGCCTGCTAACTCTGATAACATTAAACTATTAATAACATCTGTAATAACAAGTGGAATCTACTGTATTCTACATATAAATTACAGTTAAAATTGTAGGTAAGAAAGAAAGTTATGATTAACCAATCATAATTTTAAGCATAATTTTCAACACAACAATTATACACAAGCTGGATAATAAAAAATTTTAATTCTTACTACCTTGCAAGCACTAAGAGGATTTATTTCCATGCCCACAATGGGACAGCCAGTGAGAAATGAGGCCCAATAAATCCAATTCCATTTACCCACAAAAAATTTTAAGCCACCCAAACTCAAATTCAGATCCCTAAAGAGAAAGCTGATACCTTTACTGGTTCAGATATTCATCCATTGAACTTGCTCAGTTTTACAATCAACTATTTATTGTTATTAAATTTACACATAGTCAATTTCATTTCTGAAGTGCTACCTAGTGAACTATAGTGTTTGCATCACAGCTTTATATGTTAAATTATTTTATTAATTATACAAATAATGTTTGATATCCCATGCTGTGCATTATTCCAAATTAAGGGAGTGATTGAGGATATGCATTATATATTTTTGAAGATGGTATGTATGGTAGTGTTATGGGGTGAAAGTATGGTAGTTGGAAGTATAAAAATGAAGTTATGTAATTTATGGACAATCTCATAAAAACACTACAGACTCTGCCTGATTATCTTAGGCAGTTAGATCCTGGTGTTTTGTATCATTTTGTGATGTTTTTCATGCAGGTGATCATGTGAGGAATAATGATTAGTTTTCTATATACTGTGTAAGGTTTGATGACCCAGAAAGAGTAATTAGTTAAACTCGCATCAGTATGTACATGGGGTTTAGAACTGTACGTGGGTAATGGCATTGGACATACTGACACAAACACCTTTACAAATTAAATCCATTTATTTTATATAAGGTGAACTTATGCTTTCTAAATTCGGGTATCTCTTTATTGGAATTTGTGGTGAATTCTGCTGATCTCAGCAATAGTGTTGATAGCCCCGAGCTGTGGCTTGGGCACGTCCACTGGATTAAAGATGATGGCAAAACGAACACAAGACAAAATCAGGAATTTTGGCAAGGGCAACAGTATGCAAAAACAAAGAGAGAAAAGTGCACAGGTTACTTTTGTTGGTAAAATGATAGAAATCCTGCTTTGTCTTTGAAATCTAGGGTTTTTATTAATTTCCATCCTCAATCACCCATTCCAATTGGTTGCTTTTCAAGTAGTTGATCACTCATTACTATGTATAATGAGATTGCAACTTAAATCGGGGGAGAAGTCAAAATCAATGTTTAATTTGATCCCAACCAGAGATGGTTGATCTTAGGACTTACATTCTTCTAATGTTTACAAGTGTGTGTCATGTTTTCATACAAAAAATATTTCTAGCTTCCTTTTTTTTCACTCAAACAAATTTTAGTGAGGGTTTGGACCCATCCAGAGCCTCACAATTGATTAAATAATTATCTTTATTAAGTTTATTATTTAATTGATGTTGAGATAAAAAAATTTTCATAATTATTCATTTACAACACAATTTATGTTAACTTTTTAAAAAATAGGCAGATGGTGCTTAAATTAATTGATCTGTTGGAAGTCATTGTATTCCATGAGGTGTTGAGGATTTAACTTTGACACTGTAGGGCCTAAAATATTTGAATATCAAAAAAATCCAAAATCTAGAAATAATATACTTAATATCTTTGCTTGTTTTTCTGCAAAAAGTCTGTTTCTATTGAAATATGATTTTAAAAATTTAATAAAATAATATACATCACTATAAAAAAATGTTGAAACTTATAAATTAAATTATATAAATTAAAAAAATTAGAAAAATAAATTAGATAAATATATCTGGTTTTTAAATTATATATTATTGAGTTATAATGTGATATAGAATGTACAAAAATCAAATTTAGATAGTTTGAAATTTTTTTTTCCTATCTAAAAAGAATTAAATGCTTTATATAATTTTATGTCAGTGTATATAAACTTCAATATGTTGTAATTTATATAATTACCAAAGATCTTACAAATTTGATATCAAACTTAATTAATCAAAGCATAAAAGACTAATACTTACTTGGCTCATACCTGACATCTGTTCTTTTAACATTCCAGATTCTGAAAGAGAACTGCCAGCCTGTCTGACAGCATACAGATGACCATGTGATGCTAAATTCTGAATGAGATCTGAAGCATAAATTTTAATCAACTGCTGAAGCCTTTCTTCATCTTTCAAATGTAATCTTAATTAAAACATTCAAAATTATCATATGTGACAGACACATTCATATATTAAATATTACAAAAAACTATTTACTTGTTAAATATATCTGTCCATAAATTAAACATGTGTTGCACATTGTGATCCAGACAATAAGAAGATAGCAATATACCCTACAAGAGGGGAGATTGTTGTATAAAAAACTAATAGTAATATACATTAAAATGTGTTAATTTTCTTATATCTTGATCATTACATTAGTTATACAGATATCCCTTGATTAATGTGGTTAATTAATCTCTCAATCCTACCACTTATATCAAAATCTCATTAATCGAAATATGGTATCTATATTAAGTAAAAAAAGCTGGTAAAGCTGCATAAATTAAAACTTCTACCACACATATAAAAGGATTGCCACAATTAATTTTGCACATTAAACAAGGGATACTTGTACTCTTAAAAATTAATTATCATACAGTACACCCCCTATAACGGGGGTTCCTATAATGCGGATTCCTATAACGCGGAAAAAAATTGCAACAGCATTCGTATAAAGACGCTAAAAGGGACGCGTAAAATGCGGTAAAACATCATCGCCGACTTGTGTCACAACAGGATTGGTCAAATCTGGACTAATAGTAAACGAGCAGCCGAACTACTTACACGCTACGAAGAGTTTAGACGGGTAAATTGAGTTTACTATTCTCTGTATAGTATTATTATTGTCTGTACAATATTAACTTAATTTATTCTAACTTTATTATAATTACATATATACTTTCCGCCATCCAGCACCACACTATGGAGAGTTTAGGCGAATAAGTTGAGTTTACTATCATCTGTACAGTATGTAAATTAGGTACCATAAGTCTAATACAGTACTGTAATTTTATATATTTCTTGTGAAAAAAACATTTCTTATTCAATGGCCATAAAAATTATTTCTATTAATGATGTCTCCAAAGTTCAACAAATTTTTCGCAGAAAAATAACTTATCAGAAATCACGGCCACCGTTTGGTGCGCTGCTCCGCGACAAAAACAAGCTTGAGCAATGGCGTCATCGAATGGTGCACACTCGGTAAGTAATTCTACAATTTTTTTTTTATAGCATAGTTTATACGGATTATTCCCAAAAATTATATGTGTTTTGGAAATGTTGAGTCGAATTAGTCCAGAATCGATTAATTTTATGGAAGAAAACCTTTCAAACAGCAGTAGTCCGTAAACTTCACAGGTGTCGGGCTGTGATTGGCTCATGTATTTAAGGATTCCTACAACGCAAAATTCTTATACAGCGGAACATATCTACCGCATTACAGGGGTCTACTGTAGTTATGATATATTGTCAACTTAAAATCTATCATGTTTCTAAATAAATAAATAATTTTAATATTTAAATGCAAGTAAATTGTAGAAACTGTTACTTGTTCAAATGATTCAAAATCCAAAGGACTTTCAGCAATGTGGACATCAGCATTCAAACCTCCTGTCTTAAGTTCTATCTCCTGATCAAATTGCTTGTAATCTCTATTTCCTGCACCCATCCTGTAAATGAACAAAAAATAATTCTAACAGATCACAGGAAGGAAACTCAAATATAGAAGTCCATAAATTTATTTCATTAGAAATGTTTTTAAATCATCCTAGTTCATTATCATCTAACTTTGAGATTGCAAGAAACAGACTCAAAAATACTGTTAAAAAGAATACTTCTTGCAATTTGATGACTGAAGTCCTTTTTTTCTTGTTATAAGTGCTAACTGTAATCAATTTTCAATTTTCAAACATTCACTACAATTATATTTACCACAAAAATATCACTATATAGTTTCTTTGAATATGTAAACATACAAGATTTACAATATCTTGATATTTTCAAACATTATTATTTGTTTCCAAGATATCGTAAAGAGAAAGTCTAAGAAAAAAAATGTTCTTTTGAATACATCGCAATTCAACTTAATTATTAATTAATTAATAACCCTTAGGGAGTGGCATACTACTGTTAAGTACAGTTAAGTAATGTTTAAGGACCAATGATGTAAGGGACCAGACCAGACCCTGGGCACTTGTTTCTATAGAATAGTATAAATATGAGAATTCTTTAATCATATAAGAAAATTATTAATATTTTTTGTGTTTCTTCTGACTAGAAACAATCAATTTTAAATGAACATATACTCTGTATTTTAGACATTTTTTACAGTTTATCTTTTCCAATAACACACTCATCATTTTGCAATGGTGGGGAAAAAACACTTTACACTATATTACATACCAATAAAACAATAAGAAAAAATACTAAAATAATAGCTATTTCTGTGATTTTTGTAATTTTTTTTTTAATCTTTGTACTTTTTTTATTAAAAGCAATAATTTTTATTTTGTTTATAAATTTGTCTTCTTATTTCTGATAAGGATTTGATTGATAGGATAAAATATGACATACTGATATGGCAAAAGTAAACCTGTTAAAAATATTTTATATTCTTAATAAACATGTTGAACAGGCTATTACTTTTGGAGTGTTTTTTCGTTTTTTGTTCAATATTAAATTTTAAATTTTCAATATTATTTGCTTAAATTTTTAAATTGTCTGAATGTGAAGGGGATAGGTCTTAAGCATTAGAAGACGCTTTACTGTATTTTGTTTAATGAACTAAAATTTCCAGTTACACCACTGACTTTAGGGTTCTTAACTTTTCTGCAACAAACTGACACTAGTCAACCCATATATCAAAATAATACAAACATTACAAAATTACAGTAGAGCGTCATTTATCCGAATCAATTGGGGACTGGGTTGTTCAAATAACTTATTTTTCGGATAACCGATTATGTGCAAAAAAATATATTAACCTATCCTGTGTTGAAATTTTTCTCCATTGCGTGTCACTTCGCGTTGAATTTTCGTCTATGTTAAGCCTAACGTAAACTTTTTAAAATAATAATTGTGGCTATTGTATCGTTAAAAATGATTTCTTTATGTTTTACAAATGAAATAAATACATTGAAAATATAAAAACAAATAAAAATTATACTTTAGGCCGACTGGAATTCTTTCGGATAACCGACGTTTCGGATAACCGACTTTCGGATAAACGACGCACTACTGTATTATTCAACAATATTTGTTTTAACTTAGTTGATTATTATAGTAACTAAACCACAAACTAATCAATTTATAAACTGAAACACCAAATATTATAAAAAGGTCAAATGTGTACATCTGCAGATCAATAACAAAACCATTCTAGAATAATTTCATTCAAATCCATACATAAAAAGATGAATTCTGTCCTATTTTAATTAATGTATCACATTATTCTATTCTATTGAAATGTGTGCTTGCATGCCAAAGACAATCATATAGATGGCTAAAAGTGTTTTGTCTATTAATGTTTTTTGCTTCCTGAACTAATTATTAATAGTTATGTCATTTATTTATTTATTTATTCCACAATAAAAACAAAAGAACTATAGTAAAAAAAATAATAAAAATTAACTTACTACTCTACAGTCCAACAGATTCTAAATAAACCACCTGTATCTCAAAATATACATAATAATTCAGCAGTCCAAATTTTATAAGAACATTTTTTGAGATTGTTTTAAGTTTTACCCTAATAAAATTTTAATTCCCTGAATTATTAAGTATATTTTTGTAGGTTTTATTATAAAAAGAGTCAATTATCAATAAATATATTTAACTGTCTCATAGCTCCATTTCTCTCTTTTCTTTGTAACAACCCAATTTCATTACAATACAGAATCTCTATCTACATTAAGGAAATCAATTACAAAGACAACAAACTATGAAGGTATAGCTGATTTGATTTAGAATCTATCAAATTAAACAACAGTGAGTAATGATTTAAAATGATTGAATAGTTTCCAATATCAAAACAATTTATGAATGTGGAAATACCAAGCAGAGATTCTAGGCTAAGTAATTCATTTACACTAATATGCCTAGAGATTTAACTGACAATAAGCTTTAAATGTCATAAAACAGTTGGGTGCTAATGACTTTGTGAAAGGAAAAAAGTTCTATACTTAAAAACTTTAAACTTGTTTGGGGCTTATCTAGCTAACAGATAAAATGAAAATTGATTCAATTTTATACAAATTTTTTTTGCCTAGTATGTAGTGAAGTAAGTTGTGTGAGAAAAATTTTATGGCTAAATGTTTCAGATAAAACATTAATGGTTTTATTAAATAGTCAATCAACATAAAAATTAAAAAAATTAGAGTTAAAAAATAGAAAATATAGCTACTTTAGTTCATTTGTTTACAAGCACACTCTGATGAAAGAGCTCCAGTTAGTAAACAACCAATTATTGTCTCTCCATAGAGTAATAATAGAAAAAAATTTTTCACACCAAAATTTTTAATTATTACATTGGACCAAGAAAATTAATAGCTGGAATAGAGTCATACGACTAAAAGGAAGTCAAATGCACTAAAAAGTTTTGGATTTAATAATTATTTCAAATCACGTCGAGCCATAAACTTTCCATGATTGTCAACACTGCCTGCGGCTAAAGTAATTAGACTCCTTGTGTCAACAAAGAGGGTTGTAAAATGGTCTGGCCCCCTGGTCAGTAAACTTAATCCTAACCTGACCCTTCTTCAGAAAAGGTTGTGCATCCCTGAATTAATGAACCTGTGATCACACATGATAGCGGTGACTTTCCACAACTACTAGTTTTTTGGCAGACATTTTACATCAAATTGAGTCACTTATCTATGCTTCTGTGATATACACATACTATCAGGTCAGTCCATAAGTTCGTGCGTATTTTTTGACCTTGAGAAAAATCTTGTTTTGCAGTTAAAAATGCCAGTCTAATGTGATACTTTTTACACTGAAGTGTTAAATTGGATCTCATTCATATAATACGTTCAGAATTGGGAACATTTCAGTTGTTTATTTTCATTAAAATGGAAGTAACAGATGAATATAAGAGACATGTTTTATACTTTTTATTTTTAAGTGATGAGAATGCTACAAATGCAGCCAAAAAATTAAATACTGTTCATAATCAAACTGTAATAAGTGTAAGGACTGCGCAGAAGTGGTTTGAAAGATTTAGAAATAATGATTTTAGTGTGGAGGATAAGGCTCGTACTGGAAGACCCGTTGACTTTGATGATGATGCTCTCTCTGCACTAGTTGAAGCAGAACCATCTTTAACAGTTGATGAAATTGCGGAACGTTTAAATTCATCCCATGGAACTGTTCATAGACATCTACAACAAATCGGAAAAGTTTCAAAGCTAGGAAAATGGATACCACATGAACTGTCAATAGCTAACTGACAACAACGTCAACTGCTCAACTCAAAAGCTTCAAGTGGGAAATTTTACCTCATCCACCATATTTGCCAGATATTGCTCCCAGTGATTATCATCTTTTTCGGAGTTTGCAGAATTTTTTAAAAGGAAAAACTTTTGAGGATGAGAACAATGTAAAAAAGGCTATTTCTGAATATTTTGATTCAAACCCAAAATCATTTTACAAAGACGAGATTAAAAAGCTACCATCAAGATGGGAAGAAATTGTACAAAATAATGGTAAATACATTATAGATTGAAATAAAATTTAGTTAAAATTTTTTGTTGCTTTTTTGTAGATAAAAATGCGCACGAACTTATGGACTGACCTGATATGTGCTATCCATCTAACTGAATAAAAAATGTTGGTATACTGTGTAAAAAAAAAATGCATTCTGCTTATAACAGGCCCTGAGAAAACTACTGTGAAAAATTACTTGCAATCACATATAAATTTTGTTATTGTCACACAACTGCATGTGTAATGTGGTGATTTTCCATTCTGACATAATTTTTGGTGACCTGATCTCATTAAAAATAACATCATGGTGATCTTACATGATTGCTGAAAGAGGTAGTTGTGACATCATGGATTTTTGTCAGCTGATGTCATGGATTGCACACCATATGTCATGTCATCCATGACATGGTATGCAAGTTACTACAACTTCGAACACTTGTCTCTGTAAGAATGCCTGGGGTGCATGACCTTCAACAATTTAAACATTTTTGTAACTTTAGTTTGTGCCCAAAAAAATACAAAAAAATCATTTGTTGGTCTTCCTGAGAAAAACTTCAGCCCACTCGTCATTTATTTTCAACTGAACTCATTTAACATTAGTTCACACTATTGCAAAATTTGAAAGGCTCAGTATGGGAGCCTGGTCAAGGGCACTGTTCTGTAAACAAAAATATCTGTTAAACTAAACAATGTAAATATATTGAAATTTTGAATATGCAGAGAAGACACATTACAGGATTTTTCAATCATCAAATTTGAAGAATGGCAGTTATGTGCAGTATAATTATGCATGAAAAAATCAGCAGAAAATTACCATGTTAATTTGATCATGGGTTAAAATTAAAGACAAAGTCTGTTGAAACATTCACATTTTTATTTACTCTTGATACTCCAGAATACATTCCACAATGACCTGACTTTTTTAAAACTTTAGTAACCAAATAGCCTAAAAAGAAAAGTGAAATTTTCATGGAATGTATTCAGATACATGAAAGTGGATAAAAAGCCAACTATTTTGACAGACTCTGTTTTCAGTTTTAATTAACCTATTATTACTATTTAAATATTTTAGCAGAAATTAATATAAAAGAAAACCCAATATTTGTTAATTATCAAAAAATATATCTGGAATTTTATCAGGCTACATACAGCTAATTAGTTATTAACATACTAAATAATTTAAAGAATAAAGACAGACACATTAAGCTGCCATCTCATGCCATCATTAGAAATAAATAAATTTAATTTAGAATATTCTGGAAGAAAAAATTGGCCCGGAGTGGGACTTGTATCCACAATTCCTGCTTATGGTGCAGATTCATTCCATTCCCATTCTAATGATTAAACTTAACATGAGATGATAGCTTAATTGCTTATTTATAGTCTAAATTTCTTATTATCTTAATAATTAATTAGCCATGTTATAATCTAATAAGTTACTGGTTTTATCATTTGATTTAGCAGAAATATATTCAGAAATAAAACAGTAAGATCATTAACAAAAACTTCTTACTCTTTTTTTTATTAAATACTTTCAATTTTTAACTCTATTAATTCCAAATAAGTTTATGAACTTTTATAAGCATAAAATAAATAACTAAATTATAATTACTTGGAAATTATATTGCAGAACAAAGGCAAATACATCTTTAAATTATCAGACAACTGTGCAGCATTTGCAACTGCATAAAAATAAACTATTCCATTAGTGGGCTGCTCACAAATCTGAACTGGAGTTTCTCCTGAAAAAAATTCATTAGTTTATAAATTTATAAATAACAAATGTATATTTAAATTATGGATACATATTTACTTAAAGTAATTCTTTCAACATGTGTTGCTTCAAAAGTTTTTTCTACTTCATCAATGTGCAATGTTGGTAAAACCGAAACATCTTCAACTTCAGACTGTTTCTTTGCTAATTCCAAACCTTAAATACAGAATTATTATACATAGAATATGTTAAAATAATAATTCAATAAAAAAGGTGTGAATGGAAAATAGTATTTTATAAGTTAATTTTTGACTGAAAATAAGCAATGAAAAACTATCAACCAACCATCACTATAAATATTTTCCTTATCAGACTCTTGTAGATTTTTTAATTTATTCTGGAGCAATTCTTTCTCTATACTTAATTTTTCTTTTTCATAATCATCTTTGGGATTCATAATTAATGTTAATCTATGAGAATTCTCCTATTGTTAAAAAGAAATAATTTAATGCATCACTTAAAAATAATTAAATTTTATATAATATTCTCATACCTTAAAATAATATTTAAGTTTATCTTGCAAGAATCTAGGATTCTTTTTCATCTGTTGCTTAAACCATTCAACATGTTCATTGACTTTTAAAGCTTCAATAGGATCTCCACCATGATTCCATGTAGAATTCACTGTCTTACATACAAAGTTATATTCTTAAAAATCAAATCTGTCATATTTTGTGAATTAAAAAAGTAATAAAACTGAAAATTTTGGAATTTCACATCCAAATTCCTAACAAATTCAGTTAAAATTATTGTATAAAAATTTACCATAGTTAATTGCAATCCAAAATTACTTGTCTGGTGTTTAGTGCTTAGTTCAATAAAATGTAAAATTCCTTCAATTCTTTCCTGTAAAAATCCCTTACTGCAATTGATCATCAAAAGAGCACATACAAATTACAAAAAAAAAGAAAGAAAGAAAGAAAGAAAATAACTGTATATTAGTAAACACCATTCAGTTTATGATTTTAATTTATTCACTTTAGTTTAACCACTTACTTTATCACATCATCAATTGTTTTTTCTATTATGTTTGTAACTTTCTCCACATCATCTTTTGAAATACCTTGAAGACCAACAGTAAAATAACTCTGTTTTGTATGATTATCATATCTAACAAGCACAAAAATACAATTTTTAACAATTTTGGAAACAACAGATACATTTTAAATAGATTTAACAAAAATTTTACCCAGTTGAAGGACTGAAATCAGATCCCATTCCAGACTCAATTAATGCTTGATAAAGAGGTGAATTTGGTCCATCCGTTAAGAGATTAGAGAGTATAGAAAGAGTAAATGTTTCACGAGTGTCTCTTATACTAAAAATTATATTTAATGTTTAATTTTTTTTTGAAGGTAACCACTTACCAAAAATTCTAAATCTATAGTAAATTTTATCAAATTAAATTAATCTAAAACACGTTGTTTATAAAGTCTCTAATGTTTTCTATTGCAAATTCCTGTGAAGATGAATATATAAGAATATACATAGGCTGTTTTTTTCCAACCTCCGAATAAAAAAAAAAGACAAGTGTAAATAACAAAATGAATTTATTACCAAAAGTTAGGCACAAACATGGTTACTTTTCGACATAATCACTGTGAAGATTCAGGCATTTGTCATATCTGTGGACAAGCTTTTCCATCCCTTCTTCATAGAATGTTGCCACCAATGACTTGAGATGCGACCTAATGTTGTTTTGAAGATCATCATTAGTCTCAAACCCCTGCCCTCCTAGCCACTTTTTCTGTTCAAAAAAGAGGTGGAAGTCACTCGGTGCTAAATCGAGGCTATACGCTGGATGTTTATAGGTGGCGAAGACTTCCACCCAGCTTGGAACTTTTTAATGTGTGAAGGCTTCTACCTCTTTCCTGAACTGAAAACATGGCTAAGAGGGCAGAGGTTTGAGACTAATGATGATCTTCAAAACAATGTTAGGGCCCATCTCAAGTTATTGGTGGCAACATTCTATGACAAGGGGATGGAAAAGCTCGTCCACAGATATGACAAATGCCTGAATCTTCACAGTGATTATGTCGAAAAATAACCATGTTTGTACCTAACTTTTGATAATAAATTCATTTTGTTACTTACACTTGTCTTTTTTTTTTATGGACTATCGGAGGTTGAAAAAACTGCCCTCATATAATAGCAACATTCAAGGATAAAATTAAATTTCATAAGCCAAGAAAAACTAAAAACTAAAAGAAACCTGACATTTCAAAGCTACAAATATTTAAGCATTCTATTCTGTTTAAAAAATTTGTCCAATACTGAAGTTGACTTAAATTTAAACTGAAAACATTTCAGTTCTTAAATACAGTTCTGATAACCTTAGTATACCAGTGCTTTTATTTATCTATAAGCCAAGTTCTACAGACAAGGCAATTCTAAGAATCATTGAATAAATTCAAATGAATGGCATCTATTAAAGACAAACCAGAATACAAATGACCACTTCTCAAAATATGCAGTAAATATGCCATCATGGAAAAACCATGTGCCAATTCATGTCATTCATTTCAATTACCTACAAAATTTTGACATTACATTTAGACATAAAAGACACCACAAAAATAAATATAATAGAAAAATTTTTTACTGAGGCATAAAAATTATAAATAACTCAAAATCAAACACTATTGACATTTGTCTATTATCAGAATTTGTTTAAATATCCTTGGAAATCTTGAAACAATATATTATCATGGTAATGCATTGTTTGTTTTGCATTACCATTATAATGGTATCTTGATAAACAAATGTCTAACAGCATTCAATCTTGACTCATGTATACATTTTATGTTCTAGTAAAGCAATTTTTCTATTCAATTGTAGTCCTTAATCTTAAAAAGTCAATAAATGTATATCTTTTACAGCTTTACAATTCAATTTAACAGAATTCTCCATTACTTCTCTGAAATATATAGAGACTTTATAAACACCCTATACAAAGTTTATATCCATAATATAAAAGTGAGAAACTTACTCATTTAAGAGATAAGCAACACTAACAGTTGTCTGTTTGTCAGGATTAGGTGCCATAGGATCAGCTTGACAGCTAATATAATGTGTCTCCTACATTTAGAAGTTTATTGTTTAAGATAATTATTTAAAACATTTTTAAAATGTTTTAATTAAATTCTTACCGGACTGGACCATTTTGATTGATTTTTAAATTCTGCATCAATAGGTATCTTAGAAAATTTTGACAAAGCAAGTTCATCAATTAACTGTAGATGAGACTCTAATGGCATATTTCCATAAGTGAAAATTCTGCAAATATAAAAATTATAAGCAATTTGTTTTAAAAAAATTATCATAAAAATAACTTATTTGATTTGTATCATGGCAAAGAAGTACAAATCAAAAATTTGGATTTTACTTCAAACAACAGTAATAAACTTACTTCACTATGTACTAGGCAAAAAAAATTTGTATCAAATTGAATCAATTTTCATTTTATCTGTTAGCTAGATAAGTTTTCCTCTCCCAAACAATTTCAAAGTTCCTAAGTATAGAAATTTTTTCCTTTCACAAAGTCATTAGCACCCAACTGTTTTATGACTTTCCCTAAGGCAAGAAATGAAGTTCTTCTATTTCTAGCTAACACACTTTCTGGTTTAGATATCAAATATTTTAAGTCTAATACATAGTATTATAATGATTTTTAGAAGAATCAAATAGAATAAGTGATGTTAGAATGTCATTTCTGGTGTTATCAGGAAGTTTTTCTATTTTGGCAGGAAATTTTCAATTTTATGCTTCAGAAAACTTGCTTGTTTGTCTAAATAGCATCAAATAACATAAAAATAAGTGAAAATAGATATTTTTCTGTGAAAAATAACTGATGGTAGTAAGACATAATAAAATGTTGTAACTTAAAATAATCTACAGCAAATTAATAATAATAATAATAATTATAAAAAAATATCTTTAAAAATAAGTAGATAACACTTAAATTAATTAAGAGTTCAGATGCCTTTTGCATCATATGAGATATGAAGTGCTGAAAGTTAGTACAAAATATTTTTTTGGAAATTTCATATTTTTTTTGGTAACGTGTTCAATAGTACCTTTGAATTGTACTACTTTATTTTTCTGTAAGAAATCTGCTTTCATTCAAACATTTCATATCAGCAAATGAATGAATGAGTGAGAGATGCTAATATAACTTAATTAACATTGGATAATGAGAAATAATCTAAGAAAGAAATATACTAAGGCATATAATTTAATAATTCTTATCAAACAAAAGCAAATTAGAAACTAATATTGCAAAAGGACAGAAATGATGATTTATAAATTCTTAGTCCAAAAAATCATGCTCTATAAAATTAAAATCCAGCTCTTCTTATTTTGAATTTATTCTATAAAGTAATAAATACCTAGCATTACTTGGATGATAATATGTTGAATGAAATTCTTTCAACATTTCCCATGTAAGACTGGGAATATCTTCCGGAATGCCTCCACTAACATATGAATATGCATGAGATGGAAAAAGTTTATTTTGAAGAGTTTGAGCAAACATTTGGCAGGAATCACACTAAAATAAATATAAAAATACAATTTATTAAATAAAAGAAACATTTTCAATAATATAATAAACATTAATTATCATAATTTTGAGCAGATAACACATGACAGCACATAATCCACACTTGTATATATCATGCAATGAATTGCTAGAACAGAAATAAAACCTTTGCTAAACTCACACTTCTAAAGTGATTGTTTTCAACAATCATTTCAGCAATATCATTTATTGTTTCAAATACTGTTTTTGCCTTTACTTCTTTTGTTTTATTTTCATAGTACAGTAGACCCCCTATAAAACAGGTTCATATAATACGGATTCGTATAACAAGGCAAAGAAATTGCAATTGTATTCGTATAAACACGCTAAAAAAGACTCATATAATATGGTAAAACATCATCGCTGACTCATGTCGCGACAGGATTGGTCGAATCTAGATCAATAGCAGATATTACACAAACCGTTGAGTTTAAACGAGCAGCGGACCTACTAAAAACCATTTATTATTTAATGGCCATAAAAATTATATTTATATTAATGATGTCTCAAAAGTTCAGCGAATTTTTCGCAGAAAAATAACTTATCTTTAAACATGCACCCACCGTTCGATGCACCGCTCTGTGATGAAAACAAGCTTAAGCAATGGCGTCATCGAATGGTGCACACTCGGTAAGTAATTCTATAATTTTTTGTTTATAGCATAGTTTATATGGATTATTTCCAAAAAATTATAGGTGTTATGGAAATGTTGAGTCAAATTAGTCTAGAATCAATTAATTTTATGGAAGAAAACATTTCAAACAGCCATAGTCCCTAAACTGCACATGTGCCAGGCTCTGATTGGCTCATGTATTTAAGTGACTGGTAAAACATGGAATTCATATAAAATAAAATGTACCTACTGTGTTATAGGGTGGGTCTACTGTAGTTCATTTCAGATACAATTATAAAAGAAGTCAAATAGAACAAATGGAAAAAATGAAATAATTGAGACAGAATCTCCTAAATTTGTATAAGAATTGAAAATATGAATGGTAGTCAAAATTTTTTATTGTTTTGCTTCATATCTATTTTATTTTATTTCAATTAATAATAACTCTCTCACTAGTCACCATCTGTAGTTCATTTCAGATACAATTATAAAAGAAGTCAAATAGAACAAATGGAAAAAATGAAATAATTGAGACAGAATCTCCTAAACTTGTATAAGAATTGAAAATATGAATGGTAGTCAAAATTTTTTATTGTTTTGCTTCATATCTATTTTATTTTATTTCAAATAATAATAACTCTCTCACTAGTCACCATCTTGTCAAAATGAGATCAGTTGTTCCAATAAACCATAGAGTAAAACCAGAAAAAGCATGTGTGTCCAGTAGGGCCAGCCATACCAGTAAGGTCTATGGAGAGAAATAAAGCAAAGAGTGACCCACAAATAGTGTCTGGCCCAAAATAATTAACTACTTAACAACATCTGTTCCCAATGTTTGGAATGCTGATTTATAAATACTTGGCTTAAAATAGACAACTTCTGCAGATAAAATGAAAATGGCTGTGACATGCTCTCAACATAGTACTGGCTTGGATATTACTCAGTTTAAAAGTCTTTGTCTCACTCACAAAGCAGGTCTTCTTAGGCCTGTCTGTGGACAGTAGACAAACTCACATTCAAAAATTCTCACATAGTCTCATTTGACCACCAGTAGTGAATGGCTATTGCATCACAAACATATTCACTACCTCACTAAAATACAATGGACAACACATACCAACCCAACCAAAATGCTTTGAACTCTTGATTGGGTTTTGCACATATAAGATCAGATACTCACTAAGAATATCTCAATAACAGTCGCTCACAAAAATATACACAACATAACACACACTAAAGAAAATATAATTACAATAATTATATCAAGTGATACAATATGGGTGCGTAATTAATTAACACAATTATTAATTTATTCTAAGAAACATTCATTAAATACACAAGTTTAGACCCCACACAGAGACCACAAGTACCCAAAATACACACATTAGAACAACTAAGGAAAATGCTATGCTTTGTAAAAACATAAATATTACCAAAATATATTCAAGAAGAATCAAAACTTTCAGACATACATATATTAATCTATTCTGGTGCATCATTGTAGTTACATATTGTGATCTTAAAATATAATCACAAACAGACACAATCAAAAAACAGACAAATCATGAGTCTGCCTAACAAAGAAGATTAGAAACACAAATAATATTAGACAACATCTAGGCAAGCTGTCACAATACACTAAATCATCATAACACCAAACTTAATGAAAGACACTAATGTAAGTTGTCCATAAAGAGTGACTCTTCCTTAAAGTCTCACAGATATAGTAGTTAATCTTCACTATAAGCAGACACTTAGAGAGAGAGTTTTTATATCAGAAAACAATTAACATAAAAATTACACAAAGCAGAATCTCTTTCAAATAAAAATAGTACAATCATTAAACCTACACAACACTGACCTACATCTAACACAGTACACACAAAATACACAGACACAGACAGATCATTAGGATACTTGCTAAGCCAAAGACTTTGGCATAGCAAGTATCCTAATGATCTCAGCCAGAATCATATTGACAAAACTGTCAATTATTGACTTACCCATAAATGCCTCTTTGGAGACATGGAAAGATTGATGATTAACCAGGTCATAAATACAGGAAACTACAGAAGAAACTTAAATGATATGACACTTGTAAGAAATGTCACATCATGCATGAAACTATACAACACATCACATTGCAAGCACACTCTACTTACATCAATATAACTGTAAGGAACTAAGTCCGAGCTTTATTTTTATTTTACTTTTATTTTGCTTTTATTATATTTTTGTTTGGGACTTATGTTTAGTTAGGACGAAGGTTTCCTCACCCATCACCCCAGAACGGTCAAAACGAGAACATAAGGGATTAACCAACTCACCAACGATGAAACGACAGCGCCATAGCTAGAATTCGCACTCACGTGCACGCCCGAGCGGCAGAATTGTAAGTCCGCACTGAAGGAGGGGACACCCCAATAGACTTTTTAGGAACTTGTGTAACCTTTAACTAAACATCCCGATAATTGTTAAAGAAATGTTGTAAAAGGTTAACAAAGTATTGTCGAGAAATAAGCTACCAGATAACGAAGAGAAAACAAGAATGTTACGCGTAGATATGTAAATGAGGGGAGTGTCTCAAGTAGAACTGTGACGTCACCTCAGACTATAAGTACAGTAACTCAAGTGAAGACAGACGAGGTGAGCTCCTGAACCGAAAGCGTTGGTCTGCTGGTAGCAGTGAACAAGGTGTCGAATAGGAAATCCTAGTAGGAAATTAAAGGTTCGATTTTGACGATAGGAAAAGAGGAAAGTCTTGAGTGGAGGAAAAAGGTTCCGAGTATCAATTGAGGTGACGGTTAGGATCAATAGTTATAAGAGAATTTGTAACTAAGTTAAGATTGAATTTTGTTTTGTCGGAATTCCAAGGGGAATAGTTTCTAAGTTAGAATAAGACTTAAGTTTGTTGGGTTGATTGTGATTTGATTTTTTATTTAATAAATTTGTTGTTTGTTTCTAAAACTTGTACATAGTATTTGTTAGACTTGATTAAACATTTATTATTGAGAGATTTTTTTGTGACTAACTTTGTCCTTACTTTATTTCGTTGCACGCGAAAAGTCCAGGCCTGGCAACTAACAAACGCGAACCCGTATAAAGTACCCGTTAGGTCCCGGCTCTTTAAGAAAAATTCATTGTAGAGCAAAACACTAAATATAGTACTTTACATAACCAAATAGTAAATATGAACAGGACAGCAGTGTCCCCTCAGGTCAAGTCTGACACCACATGTGACTTTTGGATCAGAGGAATCATTTGTACATGCACAAGCAGCTGCATATGTGGGACTTTACTGAGTAAAAAACAGAGGAGGAAATAAGTGAGATAGGGAGCTCTGAAAGTAATGCACTCTATCACTCAAGTAACAATTGAACAATAAACATTTAATTTAACAAAAGCCTTGGCTTTTGTTAAATTAATATGCAAGCTATATATCATATTTATAGTTATATGTGGAGATTTCTATATCCTGTACCAGTCTATTCTATATACTATTTGATGCTATCCTTGCCTAATATCCATGGGAGAGAAAGAGAGTTCTGACATTACCTTCACAAGTTAATAGAAATACCTTAAAATTTGCACTCTTTTGTGGATTCATCAAACACAATATCACACAATGTCCTTGATTTGTTGAAACAACAGTTCTTAACACAATAATGTCAGTGAAACCTTCTTAATTAAACCCCTTAAGCCCTTATCCCAAGAACTCGGACAAAGTTCCATAGCGTTACAAACAAATGGTGTTATGAACCCTCCAGGAAATTTTTTTTTTTTTTTGAGTTTTGGATGTTTTTTAAGTCTCCAAATTTTTTCAAAAATTTTATCGCAATTTTAATCTACCTTTAATGATGCACGATTAACACTTAATTGTTTTTTAATGGGATTTTTTTATTAAATTTCATTCATCGTTCTAAAGTTCTAGTGCTCGGATTTTACTTCAGTAAAGTTATTTAAAGCTAGTTTCTGATGTCAAAAATGACCTCCAATAGTTTTTTAATTTTTTTAATTAATATATTTTATTATATATACATTTAATTAAGTCGGGGGATGGAAATTGCAATAAAAAACGTAATTTTTGAAAAATATTAAAAATTATACCAGCTAGTATTCACCCTACTATAAACCCTTCACCTCCTGTAGGTTTTATGAGAATGTTCCGCGAAAGACGATACCAGCTGTTCTCAAGGTCATCCAGCTGTAAACACAATTACCCATCATGGAGCAAATCCCATTACTTCCTCATTGATTTTTTCCCAGTTTTGTGCTTTTTATTTAACAAATTTATTGAATTAATATTTTAATTTAACAAACTGTAGCCCAGGATCTCACACAAATATAACACACAAAAAAAAAAACTTGCATACAAACACAAATATCCTACAACCATAATACAAATATATACAGTCATAGAAAAATTAGAAAAATATACTCAGATTACAAAATATATGTTCAAGAGGAATGTCTGATAATAAGAGTTAGAGTGAACTAACACTAAAAATGAATTAAAGAAAGCTAAAGACAGAACAAGCATATATGTTTTAGATGATTTCAAGAAAAATTACAATGGCAGATGAATATGTCTGTGGTGTATAAAGAATTTTCATGTGTTTAATACTGCTCCTGGCAAGTTTAGACAAAGAAAAAGCTGTTTGATAAATTTGTAATTGCAAGTTGAAATTAGCACAATATAACCTGCTTCCAAACTAACATACATCATATAACCTGCACCTGCTTCCAAACTGATTTTTAAACATAGGTAACTGATGAGTTATCCACATAAAATTATGATAATTAGTTCCATCATTAATTAACAAAATACTTACAAAAACACCTTTCATTTCATTATATACAACTCCTTTAAATACAATTGGTGAATTTTTATCTTTAATGTCTTCGTGTTCTAATCGCCATCCTTCTTGTCTAATAAAAAAATAATCATTTGTAATGAAATAATTATATTTCACAGAAATATTCAAAATTTGGCATCATAACATAAAATCAGACAAAAATAAAACTGTTTACTTCCAGTAATCAAACAAATTATTCATAAACATTTCCATCCTCTAATTGGATCATCTTCAGTTCATATTTAAGTTGAATATGTTAGAACACTTTGTTTTACCATGTTAAGAATATTGACTTTTGAACAGCATTTTCAACATTATGAAGGTCTACAAAAAATTTTAATTTTTATATTTAAAATGTTTTTTTGAATTAATTTTTGTTCTATGAACACTAAAGAAGTCTTTTTCCCCATCCATTATGGTTTCAGCTAGGCACATAATGGTGCAAGTGAATGGATGAGGGATGGGGTCCAACATATCCTGGCAGACCCCCTGCCATAATTTCCGAAGATCCCAATCTGGATTCAAACTCTGATCCTCCAGAGCAGCAGCTAATACTTTACAGCTTCAGCAAATAAGCCAAATTTAAACTGTTCTTGTTTCAAAACAAATGACATATATTTTAAAACATCCTATATAGTCGACCCCCTATAACGCGAGTTCATATAATGTGGATTCGTATATCGCGGCGTAAAAATTGCGACCATATTCGTATAAAGACGCTAAAAGAGACTCGTAAAATGTGGTAAAACGTCATCGCGGACTCGTGTCGCAACAGGATTGGTCGAATCTGGACCAATAGTGGACAAGCAGTCGAACTACTTACATGCTACGGAGAGTTTAGGCAGATAAGTTGCATTTACTATTGTTTGTACAGTATATAAATTAGGTACTGTAATACAGTACTGTAATTTTATACATTTCTTGTGAAAAAAACATTTCTTATTCAACGACCATAAAAATTATTTCTATTAATGATGTCTCCAAAGTTCAACAAATTTTTTGCAGAAAAATAACTTATCAGAAAACGCGCCCGCTGTTCGATGCGCTGCTTTGAGATGAAAACAAGCTTAAGCAATGGCATCATCAAACGGTGCACACTTGGTAAGTAATCCTACAATTTTTTGTTTATAGCATAGTTTATACGGATTATTCCCAAAAAATTATACGTGTTTTGGAAATGTTGAGTCAAATTAGTCTAGAATTGATTAATTTTATGGAAGAAAACCTTTCAAACAGTTGTAGTCCGTAAACTTCACACGCGCCAGGCTGTGATTGGCTTATGTATTTAAGGATTCCTACAACGTGACATTCTTACAAAGTGGAATGTATCTACCGCGTTATAGGGGGTCAACTGTATTTAACTTTTTTCTATCATATTCAATTAAAATATAAACTGAATATGACCAATTAGAAGCTGAAAATATTTTTGAATAAACCTTTTTGGTTGTTTAAAGTAAGAGATAACCAATTAAGTTGAATAAATAATTTGAATAAAACTTTATAATTTATAATCCAACAATAATTATAATGAACAAATGTTTTAAGCCATCTTAAATGGCCATAACCTGATTATAGCCATTGAAGATTTAAGATGCTGAAAATACTTCTTTATTATAATCACTGGTAGATTTTAAAGGCTTTTTTTAAATTTCTGTCTTTGGCTCACTTTAATTTTATTTTACATCATAAAATTATCCAACATCACTTACCTAAAATCATTCTTGTCTAATTTTGGAAAGAAAACTGCATCAAGATAGACTTCTAAAAGATTTCTGAAATCTTTTGTATTCTGTGTTGAGAAAGGATACATTGTATAATCACTACCTATTAAATTCAAAATCAATTAACAAATTTTATTTAATACTTTCTTAAAATATAAAAAGTTATTGAGAAAAACCTGTAAATGCATTCATAAATGTAGATAAGGATCTATTCAGCATCTTAAAGAATGGATCTCGACATGGAAATCTATGTGATCCACATAGTACTAAGTGTTCTAAAATGTGAGGGATGCCAGTATTATCTTTTGGCATAGTGGTAAAAGCAATGCTAAACATGGAACATAATTTTGAAAGTAAATATTTTATGATTAGTAACAATTCATAAAAGACAAGTAAATTACCTAAAAGTATTATTTTTATCATCTCTTGCAATATGTAGATATTTAGCTCCTGTATTCACATGCTGTAGTTGTATAGCTGCTAGATGAAGTTCTGGCACTTCACATATCTATAGATATTTTAAAAATTTTAAAAAAATTTCCTATTATTAAAAAACTAAAAATGATAATAAATTATAAATAAGTATTGAAAAATTACATGGTCCATTTTTTTAAATAAAGAGAATATTAAATGAAATCTTCAACTTTCTCTAATATTAAAATTTATGATAAATCTTAATTCAGTTTCCTTTATTCACATTCAGTACAACAAATTAAGAACTGTAGTGACTTTTCATTTAGCCTATTTCATCATCAAAAAATAATAGGAAGTTTCAAAATACAGTAGAACCTCGATTATCCGGACTAATTGGGGATGAAGGTAGTCCGGATAAGGAAAAATCCGGATAATCGAAACAAATACGTTTTCTTTTCGATGACATGTATCGGTAATATTAAAAGTAAATGCTATATTTAAATCGTGATCAAATTTTCAAGAAACAAACGTTCGTATTACATTTGGACTACTACTGACCAACGCTAACAGACTACCTATTGTTTAAAAGGCCCTCTGGTGGCGCAAGAAGACGGATTTTATAAAATAAAAAGCAGTTGAAACAGCATTTTTATGAATAAAAATTTGACAAACTATTTATCGTTTTATGACGAGTAAAATTTTTTCGTCGCATTCACGGCTTTTAAGTAATGCATAAATCTTCGAGGCGCGAGGCCCTTCGGACCGCGAGGCATAGGCGGTGGCCCACGTCGTCCATGCCTTACGCCGCCCTTGGTCGTAGAAAAGATGTAATTTGAATATAAATTATTTATAAATACGTATGTCAAGTTATATTTTTATTATTACGTAAAATATATTTAAGCGTTTACGACCACTGTGATGGGTGAGACGTTGTTGAAACAAAAAAAGTTATGCATTCCATCACGTACA